AGGCGCCCTCTATTTTAATATATAAGCCCGGCAAATAAAGCGAAGATATAATTGCAGATAGAAAGAGATAGAGACAGACAATTGAGTCAAGCGAGCAGTAGTGACCATAAGTAAAGTGTGTGAATCGTTGTGAATTGTAGCGTGTGTTTAAGTTAAAGTGACTGTGGAAATTACGTATATTACAAAGTTTGTAACGAGAAAGAATAAACTAGTTTTAATCAAGAAGGGACTTGTATCACTGAAGTCACTCGGAAAGAATTTTTACTGGAAATTATCAAACAAGCAGATACTTAACAGTATGATGCTCGGATTGATTTTCAACAGAAAGTATTAAATATCAAAAATATTTAACAGATTTATGAATGTTCAGTATAGAACAAATTGAACACAGACAGCCAAAGAAAAGAAGTAAACACTTGTGTACAAATATAAACAAAATATTTGTCAATATGGCAATAACATGAAATGCTGAGGCTTTTTCTAGATATCATCTTTACATTCTGATAAATTATTGGCTTCTGGATCAAATATGAGAGAGTACATCACGTGAGATGGAGACAAGAACAGAAATCACAATGATACCACTTAAAAATGGTTGTGTATGTAATATCTATCTAATTTACTTGGATATTTGGAATACTCGGAAATCCTAATTTTGATTAGTTGATAATTTTTGAGACAATTGATTTAATCACAATTTTAATTAACTGATTATTAGAATAACAGGAAACAGTGATGATTGGAAACACTAATTTCAATTAGTTGATTATTTTCATCACATTAATTGACTAATCATAAATACAATTAATCAATTAGTTTACAAAACACTAATCAATGTAAATGGTGCTTTTAAGTAATAAATTATGTTGATTAATCATTTAAGTTGTCCAGCTCTATTTCTCTTAGCCTAAAGGATTAGCACAAGTTTACATGCAGAATAACTACACAAGAATTTGGACCAATTATCAGAATACATATAAATATAGCTAAGGAAGAGTGAGACGTAGCAGTTATTTTAACTGTGAGAACATTCCCAACTGATTTTGCACTTTTAAACATACTAGCTACCAAATACTTACCATTTGCATACTGCACATTAATTACTTAATAAAATGAAATAAATGGTTAAAATGAGATCACAAATATTCAATCACTAAATTGTTACATGATTATTCACTGGAGATTTTCATAAGCTTTATTATGGATGTCTAATAAAGCATTAAAGCCAAATTAAGTATATCTCTTCACATCTACACACTTACTCCAAAAATACTTATTGTAACAATACTCAATAAATTATTATGAAAACCATTATACTTATAAACCTATCAGATAAATATTTTTTCTGAATTAAAATTGACTTCCAAATCTTAAATTATGGCCAACTGCATTCTAATCTTTATAACAATACTGACTGCCTGGTTAATTTTTAGTTTTGCTTTAAGTACATAACATGCTTTGATTGGAAGTTAATATTAATTACTACCCTTTACAATCAAGTTTGCCTTCTCAATTTTTCAAGAACCTAAGAAAATTGTCTAGGAGAAGTAAGCTGGATTTTCTAACTTTGTTCAACACCCTTTATGGAAAAGGTGATTTGATTTTCTGGAAAAGAGGTCCCCTAAACATTTTGATGTATGTTGTAAACAAAAACTGTGGTAGCTGTTTTTTCTGTTAGCTTTTGAATTGTACAGTTCTCACAAAAATCACAATGGCTTTTCATAGTCACATAAGAGTAGCCTCATTCAGAATCTGTGTAACACTTTATTCTCTGTTTTATCATTCAAAAGCTTTGAAATTTAATAAATTTTATAAAACTCGGTAAGTATGTAACTGTATGGAGATAAACAGTTATTGCAAGAAGTGGACTACCAATTAAAAACAGCAAACATCACACATTACATGTAAATTGTAACAAAATCCTTCTGCTTGGAAATGTAAATAATTTTGTATACATTCTGCTATTAAGTATTACTTTAATTCAGTATAAAATGTTTAGGAAAGTCTATTGTGCTTTTATTTAATGTAATCAAAAGTAGGAATGCACCAATTGGCAAAGTACACTAAATATGTATATTTACTACAAACAGTTGTTGATAAGCTTCACGTAATAAACCCAAGAAACTAATCTGTATGTGTGTCTTAAATTCAAGTGAAATATGGTCTAATACACGCATATGTAATATGTTAATAATAATGTATTTTTTATAACCACTTGTACTTACATGTTTAGTGACACATTAGTAATAGATCAACAAGACATTTTAGCCATGATGATACATAGTTCACAATAACATGTACTATAGTATAAAATTCAGTACTTCTTGACCACAGGATGCTTCTATTTTAAAGCTGATGTCAGCATTTAGCACTTAACATGAAGAATCTTCAATGTCATAGTACTCATACTCAGTTTAATCCAAAGATCACTTTATTCACAGTCAGCTTATAGTAGGTTATTTTCAAATAGTAATTGGTGTATTATTAATCCAAATTTTGATTAACTAAGCTTTCTGGTCAAAGGAGTTGCTCATATCTGTATCTGGTTGTTTTTGTTAGAAATACGAGCCACTTATATAAACTGACAATGTAAAAATTATTTGATTGTACATATGAATAGAGCTGGCTGATTATTGGAATTTGTCAACTGATTAACCATTTAGCACATTAATTGGTTGCATTCAACCAAAAAATTATTCTCACAAGAAACTTGGATAGTTGGCACAATTGAAAATAATCAGAAACACTAATTTTAATTTGTTGATCATTTTTGTGATATTAATCAATTTAATCATAATTTCATTAATCAAACATTTTACATAACATTAATCAATACTCATATGTAATCAAGTTATTCATCCAGCTCTACTTGATAATGAAAGTGATAAACCATGGAGAAAAATGAAATCAGTTTGTCTGTTAATATAAAAAGTAACTGTTTAAAGTGTTTTAACTCCTGCTACACAAGTTTAACTGGTAATGAGATTGATTGTAAAACACAATTTGTCTATATTTAGAAAGGTCTCCTACATGTAGAAAATAGATTTTTGCATACAATTTTTTCATTCACAGCTCTTATTGATTGATAATATTGGGTTCTAACTCTTCACAAGTGACAATATTATTGGAAATTTAATGCTGAACTTTTAATTTATAAAATGTTTCATTTCACTTTTATGATTAATATATAAATTGGGTGGTAATTCTGATATTGCATCATTATACCTTGGCTGGAAATATACAATATCCTGAAACAGTGTTACAGAACAAAAACTGGTACCATATTTTGACTTTACATCATACATGGAAATGTTTAGCAAGGTTTTTTCAAAAAGAAACTCAAGTCAAATCTTTTCCATAAAGGGTATTGTATAAATCTTGAAAGATGAGCTCTTTTGAGAATCCTCTTGTACACTAAAAATGCTAAGTGACACAAAGTATTTACTCTGTGGAAGCCATCCAACAAAAAAATAAACCCCCTTATATCCATAAAATTAACAAACAAAAACCTGAAGGATTTCAAACAATCAGCACACATCACAGTTGATGTAACTGTTAATTTAACCCTTTTGTAATTTGTTTAAAACACATCCTTAGTAATGTATGTTTGTTGACATGCTTTATCCCCTGGCACAGAATAACAGATGTAGAAAAGTTGTGGACATGTACTAATTGTTTAATTTCCTTAGGTATAAATTACATACATGATACAGCATTTTTTATCTCATAATAGCTTGTACCAGTTTGGTCCTGTGTTTGTGATCTCTTCCTAAGGTGGGAAAAGCCAATCTCAAGGTGTGACATAGATGCTTTCATAGATTTGTATGAATAGAGGGTTCTCTTCCTTATGCATCGTACTTGGAATAGTCAGAGATGGGGCTAATCCATGTATTATGGAATACTGCACTTGGACCCTTTGTCTGACTTCAAAATGCAATAACTCCTTCTGTTCTCATCCTGTGTGGGCATAATTTGGAAGCCCTTCCCCAGCCCCAACAGAAAGTTATAAGCCAACTATAAAGTAAAATACACAACATACAAGTAAAATACACTACACATAATTGTGATTAAATATCTATTTCATTTCTTCACTTACTTTTTTTTCCTTTGCTGTCCATATTCAGTTTATTTTCTACATACAATTTGCTGAATCTGCATTTTTTGCAGTAAATTTTAGCTTCTTTTTGGATATCAGTGTACCTAATTACAACACACACCACCACATCATCATCATCTAACAAACTATCCTACAAATTACCAATTGTAACAGGAAAAGCATTTTGCATAATAACCAGTCTGGACCTAAGCTTCCATAGCTAGCTACATATTTACAGGCATTAAAATGAGGTGAAAAATTTTGAAATGGTGTGCCTTCTCTTGAGAATTCAAACCGTTAGCATCCCTAGTCTTCTGGTTGGAATGTCAAAGTGGGCCACAAAAAAAAAAGACTTTCACTTCTTTTAAAATCCTAATTTAATCACTATGTATTTCCTCTAATATTCAGGATTTCAAACCAAACTTTACCCTTCTAAAACACCAGCAAAACTCCGAGAGGACTGAACATTTAAATCAAGTCACCTCTAATACTTCTGTGCCCCAGAAAAAACAAGTTTAATGGTTTGAATCTCTTTTTAAAACTTAGATGTTTATGAACTTTTTCAAGTCAATATTTTTTCTGTAATATGGGAACCAAAACTGAACATATCCTGAATGATGCCTTACCAAATTTTTGCACAATGTGACAATGATCTCTTTATTCTTGAACTTAAATTTCTAAAAATAATACCAGAACCCTATTTGCTATTTTCTCCATTTCAAATATTCACTTTCCACCACATCTACTAATATTTCTCCCAACAAAAATTAAATAAACAAATATGAATAAAAATACAAAAAATAGTTTTTTTCTAAATTTCCATATCCTACACACATCTTTTACATTTACAATGATGAATGAACGTTATTTTTCACAAATAAGCCCACTTGGCATATTCCAAAAGAATCAGCTTAGTATCATCAACAAACTTAATAATCTTACTACTTAGTACTCATAGTATTCCACATCCGTGAAATATAAACAACTATTAGTGATTATTACTCATAGTGCTATTAGACTAACTATTACTATTAGGAGTAGTAGTGATACTATGTAGTGTAGCAAGTAAACTGTAAAGAGAGCTTAAACTTTAATTATTATTATTTTTTTGTGTGCAGAAACACATATTACAGTAAGAGAAAAAATACTGTAAATACAGAGTTAATTAGTTAATAATAATATAAATTACAAAGAGTGACACTGGCGATAAAGTGACCTAGATTACCACCTGCAACAAGCAATTGCTTTTATAACCTTACGTGAATAATAAACAAACACTTATTTCATTTCAAAAAGAACCGATCTAGCGTCATTTCTACGCTATTCAAATATCGCGATTTTTCAAAAATGAAAGTGAAAACATAAGCGGCAAATATATTAATAATAATTTGTAATAAAAAATAACAATATTAAATAAATACGAATAACATTTCATTATTTATCTAAGACAAAATCAGCATATATATAAAATAACATCAATCAAATCAATATGAATCTCACACAGATTACCCATGAAGATGTAAATTTCTTAATTACCTGAAAGTTAGTTAGGCTTTGTTGAAAAATGCATATTGTCAAACAAAACTTTGGGTGAAAAAATAGTAATAATAGTTTTCATGAACTTGTGTAATATTTGAATATATTGTTGCGTCTCTGTTTGTTTGTTAATTTCCCGAAGAAATTTGTTCCCAGAAACTTCAGCGATACAAGTCCTTTCTTAAATAAAATTCTTTCTTGATACAACTTTGTAATACACAGAATTTCCGCCGTTACTTTAAACTTGACTACCTTTATGAACATACGCTATAAATCACAGTGATTCACACACTTTACTTACGGTTTGACTCGATTATCTCTATCTTCAATCTCTCTATCCATCCCATTCTGCTATATTTGCCGGGCTTATATACTAAAAAAAGAGGGCGCCTGGAACAGACTAGAGTTGCCAGGACAATTCAAGATCTTTCGAGAATCTCATGACATGTTACCAGAGTCACGTGACTTCTGCTGTCGTAACAAAAGTAAATTCAGAAAAGCCTTACTAACAAAATGAAACAATCCCATAATTGACAAATACCCAGGCATATCTCTGTATGTCTTTGATAGTGATTTCCCCACACATTCCTAATCTTATGGAAATATTTCTTATAATATATTCCACATATTTTTATATTTATTAACTTTTTATGTTTTATGTTCAGCCATAAATAAATCATCTTTCAATTCACGAGATTGATATTCACATGCATAAGTAAACACTATCAATTCTAAAATTTAAATACATTGTTAGATTGTTGAATGTTGATCTAAATACTAAAACCTTCTTTACCATTAAAACTTGTGTCATTGAGAATGACCGCATGAGTGATCGAAACGTCGTACCTATCAGGCCCGTAATCAGAATGATTTCAAGGGGTGTTTCCAAATTGTGAGATCAAAGGCTAAGAAATATTGTGCAAACCACAAAGCATTGCTAATGCTTCGGAGGTCTGGGAGCATTCTTCCCCAGAAAAATTTTCAAACATATGTGCTATGAGATTATATCTGGAAGCTATTTTGCATGAAATATACCTTAAACAATTGCAGCTGTGCTATAACTATATAAGCATAATTTACATCACAAAATAGGTGGTTCAAGCGAACCCTCTTCCGTATGTGTATGCTTGTTCTAGAATATAATTTTCCTTACTGTAAAAGTTGTAACTAGAAGTAAAATATAATTAGTAGTAAGTAAACTCAAAACGAAATTATTAACAATATAGCTTACAACAATAGAATGGTATTATACACGTCTAAGGGTTCTTAACGCCGATATTTTTTATTTATTTTTTACTTACTTACATGTGTAATTATTATCTGCGACCAATATATATATTTAAAAAATATATAAAGCGATCGTTTTCACGGTGAGTAGCCTACACATTCAACAGTATGATTACTAACTAAATATTTTTGAACACTAATTAGTTACTATTTTTGAAAATTATTTCGGTCACTAATTGCCAATTAGATTTTATCCAACGTTTCGGCTGCTAATCTGCTGCAGCCTTCAGAGGTGTTCTGGGAAGAAATGTATATGGTAGCTGAAGATGTGATTCATTTCCTGCGTCTTCTTGTAGGTCACACAAATGAAAGACATCATTCAAAATAATGTACTATGTTATTTATATATAAAAATAAAAATCTCTCTGTGTGTTTGTTTGCTTGCTTACTTGTTTGTTTGTCCACCGCGTTCACTGCTCAGTACACACTTCCCTCACGTGAAGGTGCGCAAAATGACAATTTTCCGTTTTTTTCATTGATATACGCGTCTATCGTCTGCTGGACGAACCAGTAATTTTATCTTTAACATGTTTTACATGTTTGTGATTCTACGCAGACTTGACATTTTTTGGTAAGTTTGCGTTTACATTTAATTTACAATATAGCATTAAAATAGATAGGCCTATTTAGTTATAGACAATTGATTATAGATCTATTAATACATCATATATTTAATCTCACATACAAAAGAAATGTATGCAGAATTAGAATGTCGTGTATGAAAAAGCAAACAGTAGGCCTAGCCTATAAAATAAAATTATGCCGTCTGCCATAAAATAAACTAGTGAAAAGAGTGAGACTTAAATTATAATATTTACTTTGTACAATTAGTTTAAAGTCAAGTCAGAGTAACTGGTAGAGCACTTGCATGAGGTGGAAGATGGGTTGAACCTGGAAATTGTATTATTTATTAGCATTAGAGTATATAGGCCTATTTAGTAATAGATTATTAATTATACATCTACTAATACATCATATATTTAACCTCACACACAAAAGAAGTGTATGCAGAATTATAATGTCGTGTATGACAATAAACGGGAACATGTTTTCATCCAACGTATCCAATGAATTCCAACAGATCTCCCCTTCGAATTCAAACGGCTGCAGTTCCCAGTCAAATTAAGCTTTGCTATGTTAATCAACAAAGCACAGGCCTAGACTCTGAAAGTAGTGGGATTTGAATTGACGTCACCATATTTCTCTCATGGACAATTCTACGTCGGATTCTCAAGAGTGGGGAACAATAAGGGCCTATTTATCCTTGCCAGTGAAGGAAAAACAAAAAGTATCTATCAAAAGGAAGCCCTGATTTAAAACAGGTTTCCAGTTTATTTTCAAAAATCAAACCTAAGGTTGTTGTTGTTTTCATAAATTCACAAATATTTTTCACCTATAGAAATATGGAACGGAGAAATAGAGAGAGAATTGTTTTTTTTTTGTTTTTTTTTCGAAAACCCGGGAAAGGCCGGGTGACGCTGCCAGTATATATGTTTTAATGTGGAAGGAAACTTTTAGCAATTTGATTTTTCTAGTTCAGCCATGACTTTCTCGACATGACAAATGTTCTATACAAAAAAACTAGCAAATAAAAAAATATCCTGTATCAAGTTTTCATTAAATTATTTTGGGGTTGACAGATGACTTCTGAACTTGTTGAGAAGTAAAAGTTCATGATTCACTGAAGTAATGAAATATATATGACATGGTAAAACAGACACAATATCCAACGCAATACGCTGCGTAAGTTTTACTGCTTTTCATTACATTTCAAAACAGTTTTAATCATTAAGTTAATTCTACACTAATATCAGATGTGTTCGAGTTACGAAACGCAAATAAATGGCACTAAGCCTAACCCTGGCAGAATCTCAGCCTTAACGGTTAACCACTAAACTATTTAACTAGCCAATTTTACACATAACACCTCTGATCATTTACTTGCTAATATCTCTGTTGACTTAATTTTTCTTGTTTTTCTGCCTTTCATTGTGAAATCTACTGTCTGCTTATACAGAATAATATTTTGGAGATTTCTTCGAGAACCTGAACTAAACGTTAACTAATATTTAAAAAATGCTTAGCTAAGTTTTATCTACTTTCGTTACAGTGACTGGGGAAATTAAATATTTAATCGAAACAATTAAACATTATTTTTAAGGTTCGGTGGCATGATTTATTATAGCTGTCATTCTTCTTAATTAAATTGTTATATATACTACAGAGCAAAACTTTAAAATGTCTAACCTACATAAAAATAACTTCTCTAAACACATCTTGATGGCTAATCTCGATCATAATTTGTAATAGTGAGCAAATTTAAACAGAATATGTTTACAATCTTATCATATAGCCATAATGACAGGTGAACGCGACTAAGTACATATTTCGGTGATACAACGAAAAATCTCGAATACATATAAAAGTGATTAGTAAATCTGTTACAAGTGATGTATTACTATAAAAATGGATAATACTGTTGCGTCATCGAGGTCACGTGACTGGTGTGGCGCCACCTATTTTCTAGAACTATCCTGT